GCACCTACGATCGAAGTGGTTAGACAGGCAGGCGAGGGGCTGAAAGAACACACGGGAGTAATACCACAATGCCCTCGCTCCAGCCGTCGTACGCGTCGGTAGGAAGGGTAGAAACGCGAAGCCAGTTAGTCTTAATGTCTTGATGTGCTTGCGGGGAAGTGCCTAATGCTTGAAGGCTTGAGGACGAGAATTGCTTGTGCGCGGTGATAGGACGCTTGACGGGGCTTGACGAGGGTTGAGGAACTTGCGGGACAGCTCTTAAGGGACTTGCGGGATAGCTTGGAGAGTCTTGAGGGGTAACATTTGAGGCCGTGAGCCATAATTGGGAGGCGTTGGGGCTAAGAGCGAGGCGGCACAGAGAGGCAAGTGGGGGGAAAGGAAGAGAGGCGTGCGACGTGGCAACGACAACGAACCATCAACCACGATCACGCCATTTGATCGAGCGGAGTTTCAATTGACTTGCAAGCATCGTGAAGTCCGAGTCGGTGATGCGAGATGCGACTGCTCGCAAGTCGCAGCTCCTCCGCTGTACCCTCAGCTGGTGTTCGGATTGAGACTGTGGAGGGACTGTGAATCCGTGACTAGTCCCAATAGCCCTGGGGATTAAGATGCACGGGACCGAGACTCGGAGGCATTTAGGGCATGAAACCGTCCCGTTATTTTACGGAAATACGGCCCGTAAAAACAGTTACGTCCCCGTAACCGTCGGCAGGTCTCATGCTGTCTCTGACGGTACGGGTACGCCACGGGTGGACCCGTTTACGGTGTTCCGTAACCGGCCGTTTACGCGTAAACGGGTTGACGAAACAATCGGAAACAGCTGCTAAATGGGGTGCATAGTGGTGCACAAGCGTCCATGAATAACTCCACCGAGGACTCCACCTTGCATTTTCTCGCGCTACCTCCGTCGGGGATACTGTACATACTCTGACAACAGCGCTTTGGCCGACAATTAACTCTCTCCTCTTGTCTCGCTCTCTCTATTCCTTGAGCAAGTGTCAGTGTCCATCAGGATTGTTTAGTTCATCTTCAGTTAGGTCCAGATGTCCGCTGGAGTCCTTACCAATTTTTTTGCGTTCCAAATTCTGGGTTTGCGCCGCTTGGGGTACTCCAACCATTTTTGAAATTGTGGCTCTTCGCTTGCTTGTGCGCCACTATCAATGGTGTTGGGCGCTCCTTGGGCGCCCCGAAATGATCCTAGATGAGGCTACGAAAGGTATTTAAGCTCTGTCTCTTTTGAATATTTCCAAGGCACCCCGATCATCATCGAAAATGTCTGCGGCCCTCGCCGGCAATTCCCCAATCTGTACCGCCTTGTCCGCAATATTCATTGCATCCCAGGTATTTAAAATCTTGATTTATTGTTACCCGTGCAGCCCCTGATTGACTACCTCAGGCTCAGCCGTGGCTGTCGAACACATCTTCTCGGGCGGCCGTGACACAATCGGACTGCGGCGTGCAGATCTGAAGGCTGCCAAGACTATTCAGACACTCATGTTTGTCAAGGCCAGGCTAAAGGTGGCTTGCAAGACAATTATTGACTTGGTAGGAGACGAAGAGGAGTAGTACATTTTATCTCGACTAGTACAATAAACTTATTTTAGTCTGTTCTATGGTGGCCCCAAGAATAGCCGTAAATACGCCGTAAACGGACGGTACGGACGTGTCCCGTCCCGTTGGGCCCCCCGAGAATTGACTTGACGGACGGCTCTGGCCGTGGCGTAAGGAAAATACGGCGTAATCGTTACGCCCGTGCGCGTAACACGGACGGTTTCATGCCCTAGAGGCATTTCGGCGGGCATAGTACGGGGTCTCGGCCCTCCGTGTCTATGAACTCTCGTTGGACGAGCCGGGATCTCTACATTGGTGACTCATTTCAGAAAAGAGATGTGAGAGGATTTTCAGAAAAGTTATGAAAAGAAGATAAGCCGTGTAAGCCAAGAAAAGCAGGAAAAAGGGACCAGAAAAGACGAAAGCTGAAAAAGCTGGCAAAAGTTCTCGGAAAAGCACTTGTCAATTTGCTGATGTGGAGAGGCAGGTCGCACGCAAGTCGCGCGCGTTCTCAAGCTCTTTTTCGAGTCGTGCCGGCTGGAGAATCCGTGCATGGAGAATCAGAGGTGCCTATCCGTTCGTTTGATACCGAGCCTGGGCCCAAAGCAGTGCACATCGGACTCCTTGCAAGAAGTGACAGCGAGAAAAGATCCTCGTATGCCGCTATTGGCCCAAGTGCAGTGCCCTGGGAGACATAATCACCCGATTTGGACATAGGCCATGTCCAAATCTGGCATGACCGCCCCCAAGTTCCTCTCCCTCTGCTCTCCCTCCTACATGGACCACTGACATCGGAAGCCGTCCTGAAACTAGCAGAGGGCCACTGCCTCTCATCTCTGGACGGCCCACTGCTTCTTGTTCTTCTGAAGACCACTACAGCCCGCAAAAGACCAAGACGAGAAAGTGGCGAGCGACCAACGTCACTGAATACCCCAGCTTCCCACGCGCCTCATTGTCAAACTCTCTACTATCAAGAACACCAATGGCTGCAACGAGCAAGACGGACGGACCCAAAGTCGCCGCCTCTGGGGCATGCAGATGGCGCAGGAGGGTGTGCCCGGTAGCCAGTCCGAAGTTGTGACCCGGGATCACTCTGAGACACAAGGGGCATGACTGGAAGAACCTAGCTTGGGGGCTCGGGATGAAGCTCAGGGCGTTGATTTGTTGTGAGACTCGGTTTGCAGTCGGCAGGTAAGTGTGCATTGTGTCACAGGAAATTTGACATGGTGGGGTGTGGAAGTATGATATAAAGAAAGAATTGGACATTAAGATTGCTGGAAAATATGTGCCCGCACCGAGTGTCCACAGAAACCCCCGCGTCGACAGGTTTCGCTCGCGATGCGACGTTTTGATGTGCGGGCACGTGACCTTGATGGAATACGGTTCCACACAACGCCGGCGTGTAATAGCAGTTGGAGGCAGTTCAGAGTAGCCTGAGGAATGATGTAGGAGTGAAAAGTGAGTGGGGGAAGGTGGGAGAAACGTTATGTGGTCGTTAACACCCATTGAGGACCATGTGTGCCTCGGAATGATCAAGAAGGACTTAATTTCAAGGGTGAACCTAAGGTGTTGATTGGGAAGAACTTGGGAAATTTCCCTCACCTGAAGAGCGAGATACATTAATGAGTGGCAGCTGGAGCTTCACGTATGTGTGGTTCCGGGGTCTTACAACCGAAAACGGCAGCCGAGATCACTGGGCATCAGCCGGCATCCTGCCGACGCTCACTAAAATTATAAAAGCGTGATTCTCCGGATTTCCATAATATATTCAGGTTGAACTTGGAGGGAGGGAGGAGACGTGGTGTATGGTGCACCGCTGCATTAATTCGTCGATTATTACTTGCGGGATATTAGGCAGCAGGCCGGGGTTCGACTCCCTGCGTCCACATTCCCTTGTTGGTCTCTTTTTTTTCTTGTGAATCTTGTCTTCCCACCCAGTTGTTTTGCTCCACCGAGTTAATTGTCAATGTCTCCCGCATCCTTTTTTTTTGAGCAGGTGAGAGTGGTTGAATTTCGAACTATGGGCACTATGCGTGTTTGCATGTCCGCCGATCAACAAACAGGGGTACATCTTCCGGTGAGGATTCTTTCTCACTGTCACTTCTCTGCAAGGACTCCTTCAAGGCTTGAAGGAGTCCGACGCCCAAGGGTCGGTATCAAACGAACGGATAGACCTCCGATTCTCCGTGCATGGACTCTCCAGCCGGCGCGACTCGAGAGAGAGCTCGAGTTGGAAGGACACTCGAACCCGGCAGCGTACGTCCCGCACATCGCGTCGTAGGATTCCGAAGCTGATTGCTGCGTCGATGCTTAAGCTTTCGCTTTCACCTGTCCACGTATAATCGGGGGGAGGGCGGGGATAGCACATAGCCTCAGTACTCGTCCCTCCCCATCCTGAGCCTTTTCGTCCCCACCGATTCCACTGCCCAGGACATTTATTCTCGGTGATTGAATTTCTCAGATCTATGCAGTATAAGTCGCGATGTTCCGAGCTAGACGGTATGTATCTTTGTTGGCCTTTTTTTCCAACTGGTGCCCGGGATACAGTAATGCGACGCAAAGATCAGGTTGCTAAACTGCCCTTCAGACTTTGTATGCCCCCGCTGCCAGAAGTTGAGTATGTATTCAGGTTGAATTAGGAGGGAGGAAGAGGGACACGGTGTACGGTGCACCGCTGCATTCGTTGGTAGGAAAAGCAGTATGATGCAGCAGGCCCGGGTTCGACTCCCCGCGTCCCCATTTGATTACATAGAGTTCTCTTTTTAGTTCTGTTTTGGGGCGGTAGAGATGGTGTAGATCTACATCTTCGAGATGAGCCGGTTCGACTTGGGTGCTCGACAGTGTACACGTCGATGAAGGGACAATTTGGATAGGAGTGAGAGGATCGAGGGGAGTTGTTGATTCTCGGTTCAGAGCAGGCCACGAGTGCCAGAAGTAATGGTTATATTCATGTTGAAAATGGAGATGAAGAAGGGGACGTGGTGTACGGCGCACGGTTGCATTAATTGATTGACCACCGTGGTATCCTGCAGCAGGCCGGGGTTCGACTCCCCGCGTCCCACATTCAAGTTGGCCTCAGTGCTTTTCCTTCAACTTTTTCGCTGCCGTTGTCGTTGTTGTGTTGCGGTGTTTGCTACCACCGCACCTGGACTCTCCGCAGAGGAACTTCTTTTTTTTTGCGGAGGATGGGGCCTTTGTGGCTCGACAGCTGAAAAGCATGTTAGATATTCAGGTTGAATTTGGAGGGAGGAAGAAGACGTGGTGTATGGTGCATCGCTTCATTAATTCGTCGAGTACTACTTGGGAAGCATTATGCAACAGGTCGGGATTCGACTCCCCGCGTCCCACATTCCATATTTCCTGTGGTATCTTTTTTTAGTCCCTTCACGAGGCATAGGACTGGGTTCAAATTCTACGCGATATCGTCAGGTTGAAGGCGGGAGCAGGAAGGGGACGTGGTGTATGGCGCACCGCTGCATTTACTGATCAAGGCACCAATTTGGTTATGCAGCAGGCCGGGGTTCGACTCCCCGCGTCCCCCATTCAACTTCGATCCTCTTTTTTACCCTGGTGCCATCATCCATGTCAAAAGATTCTTCGATGCTTGGAGCGCAGTACTAGTAGGCTCAAGTTGTGTGCTGGGCGCCGCTGGACACACGATTCTTGTGGGAAGAATTATCTGGGCTCCTTTGCGTACCGCTGCCGCCAGATGTAATAGGGATATTCAGGTTGCAATTTGGTGGGAGGAAGAGGGACGTGGTGTATGGTGCACCGTTGCATTAGTTAGCCAGCCTTTGACCTGGTTATGCAGCAGGCCGGGGTTCGGCTCCCCGCGTCCCGCATTCTGTACTTCCTGGTGCATCTTTTGGACTTCTGTCACGATTCTACGCGATACAGCCAGGTTGAATTCGTAGGGAGGAGGGGACGTGATGTATGGTGCACCGCTGCATTTACTGATCCACACGTTCATTAGGTTATGCAACAGGCCGGGGTTCGACTCCTCGCGTCCCACGTTCCGTATTCCTCAGGACATCTTTTTGGATCTCCTTCGTGAGGCATACGATTTTACGCGATATAGTCAGGTTGAATTGAGAGGAGGAAGGGGACGTGGTGTACGGTGCACCGCTGCATTACTTAATTGAGGCGTTAATTAGGTTATGCAGCAGGCCGGGGTTCGACTCCCCGCGTCCTCCATACTAGCTTACGAGGGTTGTTTTTAGTTCTGTTCTTGGGAGGCATTCGGGATGGAGTAGATCTCGATTTGTGACGATGGTGTGATTCAACTCGGGTGCTCGATATTAATAGTACTGGTAGTTTATTTACATGCCGGTCAACGGACGGATTGATATTTTGGGTTCTTCATGGCCACCCTGTGACAGGGAAAGTCATGGATATATCAAGGTTGAATTTGGGGAAAGCAAGGGTACACCGCTGCATTTACTGCTCCAGGCATGTATTGGTTATGCAGCAGGCCGGGGTTCGACCCCCTACGTCCCCATATTAATGGTCCTCTCGAACCTTTTTTTCTTCTCTTGTCGTAAGCTTCCCACCCAGACGTTTTGCTCCATATCCGATAATTCAAATGCAAGGCATTTTCCGTTTTTTTTTTTTTCTTTCTTTTTGGGGAGGTGAGAGTGTGGTTGAATTTCGAACTTTGGACGAATGAACGTTGCGCGTGCTTGCCTGCCCGCCGATCAATAAACAAGCGTACATTGACATCTTCCGGTGCGGATCTTTCTCACTGTCAATTCCCAGGGCTTGACTCCGACGTCGACGGCGACGGCTCAGGGTCTGTATCAAACGAAAGCTTGACTATCGCCCCCTCCCTGGAATTGCAGAGGCCTCGAGCTCTAATTCTGCAGACGGCTTGCAGACGGCTTCGTCTCGCACGTTGGACAGCTTTAACACCGGAAGGACGCATTGAATTTGATAGAACCGTATCAGCGCCTGACTCAGTCCTTGGATAAGACTCAGGATAAATTAGAAGTGGTACGTCGAAATCGATCCGTCCTAGGATCCCGAAGCTGATTGATGCGTCGATGCTTCGCAGCCTTGCTTTTTGACCACGTATAATCGGGAAGAGGGCGGGGATAGCACAGAGCATAGCCCGGATCCGTTTTCCTAGTACTCGGCTTCACTGCCGACGAGTCAGACTCGTCGTACTCGCCCCGTACTCGTCCTACTCGCACGTCGCAATGCCGGTCATCCGCCACGCGCGCCGCGACCGCAACCCGCCGCCGCCCCCGGGCCTCGCGCTCCCCTCGCTCTCCGCTCTCCTTTCCCGCTCCTCGGGCACCTCTAGCTCCACCGACCTCGACGCTGATGGCGGCACCTAGACCGGTGACTGTCTGTCTATGAGAACTGTCGATAGACAAACGAGCTTGCTCTCATAGACAGGCTGGATTCGAGCCTAGGCGGCACCGGCAATGCCAACGCCAATGTTAACGAGAAGAACGGCAAGAAAAACAAAAGCACGCCCGGCTTCAGCACGGACACGACGCCGCTCTTCCTGCGGCGCTCTAAGGCGAGCCGCGTGACGGACGACGTCGTGCAGCGCGCGCTCGACGCCGTGCGTCTACTCGGGAGCATCGCGGGGAGCATGAATTTGGAGAATCTGCAGATCGTGGCGAGTAGCTCTGCGCTGCTGTTTGATACGGTGCAATTTCGTTTGCGCTTTTCTTCCTCTCTTCTCCTCGAGCGGCGCCTTCCTGTCCCTTCGCCTCCCGGGGCGGAGTCCCCCGCAGAGTCCCCTTCCTTGCCGTCCCGAGCTTTCGTCCCGCACCCGCTTCCTCCCGTTGCCGCACCCGCTTCCTCCGTTGCTGCCCCCCGCCTCCCCACATTGCCCATCCTTCACGCCATCCGGCTCCTCCTTCACGCTATCCGGCTTCTCCTCCCCGCTATCCGTCCTTCCTTCTCTGACTCTCCCTGCCTTCCTCCCGGGGTTCGCCTCCCCGCGTCCCGATATTGAGGTCCTGTCGTAATTGACAACCTTTTTATTTATTTCTTGTCTTCCTATCTAGAAGTTGCTGTCCACGTCCGAGATAATTTAATGCGCCGCTGCAATGCCCACTATATCAGGAAAAAATCACAAGACTGCGGCCATCAAAAAGCGCTATGGCGTGCTACCGTTGCGCTCTGGAGCGCGGCAGCTAAGTGATTTTCCCCTGATGTAACTTAAGGTAGTGGGTCCTGAAGAGCCCTAATGGTGCAGAGTCTCACCAAAGTATGCATTTTCCCACAGCCAAACAGTACAATACAGTGCTTTTTCTCAGGTGAGTTCGATTCCTGCCATTCTCATTTTCAAAAAATCTTTCGTATTTCGGAATATACAGTGGATCAGGCGAACACTGAGTAATCGGTTTTGGAATTTACAGTGGGGGCTTCGGTCATCTGTCATCAAAGTCCTGTTCGTCGTCTTGTTTCTTGTTTCTCGTTCCCATCTCAGCATTAGCTTCATTGCCACTCTCCCCCATCGTCGTCTGTCACTGCTCCTCCTATTCTCTCCTGTACCTCAACAGGACTGCTGAGATCAGCCCCTCCAACTCCCTCATGTGCTCCTGCTGCCCCTTTCCAGCTCTGTCACCCCAAGTCCGCCCACGTTCATCTCCGGTTGCAGTCTGAAGCCACCTCAAGCCATGTCAAGCCCATCTCTCAATTCATTGTCTCAAACAGCCTCAAGACCTGTCTCAAGTCTTCTTAATTTGCTCTCTCAAGCTCTGCCGCCTCAATTGGTTTAGTGCCACCTTTTGTAGCAACCAGCACCAGCTCTTCACTCGGAGGTCCCTGCTTCGCACCGAGTATGATCGTGGCCTCCCTTGCCTTCCCTCCCCCAGGACTACAGGAGTGCACTAAGTGAGTCCCGTGCCATTTGTTCTCTTCCTCGCCGCCGCTGACTGCATCGGGCAGATTCGGCGGTCTGTCGAGCACTTGCAAGGTGCTGAGCCCAGTGAACAGGCCAGGTAAGCAGTTATCTTGCCGCCGCCGCCGCCCTCGTCGCTGCTCATTAGTGTTCCCTCTGTCTCAATTTGAAATCTAACACCATCTTTCAAGCTTTCCGCACAATTTCCCCATGTGTACGTACGATGGCTACTCTACGCGGTACGTACACTCGGTTTCCTCTCATTTCCCTCATTCACTGTCAGGTTGTGGTGTCTTCATCGACCTGCCATCCTAGTACGTTTTCTACCACTTCATATACTCTCCTGCTAACTTCCCTCCAGTGCCCTCCCGATCCCTCCTTCCGCTTCTCCACGGCTCACTGCACGCTTCCTCGACCATGCGAAGCGATGGCTCGAGGATGGCAGCTTCACGATGCATGGTAGGCACAATGGCAGGGCGTGCATGTGTGGCGTAGTTGTATGTACTGTGTATTGTAGTAGCGGCGGTGAATAAATCGATTTTATTCCTTGTCAATGTCCCTCGATTTAGGTCAATGATTGCCTCAACGCAGCTCAACGTGCCTCGACCACACTCATTAGGTGTAAATTTCCAATGAAGCAGAACAAGCTATGTAGCCTTTCTTCTGTATGATTCTGTTGGAATAATGATCAGAAAGTACAGTAGGGGACAGTCAAAAACATCAACTGAAACTTACTTTCTTCAAAAATTCCGAAACTTTGGGAATGGATAGATCCCATCGAATAGTCCTTTCCCAAATATTTCCAGATTTTTCTGACGAGCCGTTCGGCCGGAAATCACATGGCAAGTTAAACAGGTCTCAACATTTGGCCAACTTCCCCAGTTCTGCTTCAATCTGGACGAAAGTAGGCTCATTTTAAAGCTCTCATTCAGGAGAGTCTTCTGACTGAGTTTGAAAATAAATTCACGAGCCGTTCGGGAGAAATTCAGAATACAAAAGTCACATGGTGTCACACATGACCAAAGTCCGATGTTCACCAAGATGACTTCAAGAACCAGGTATCCATGCTTGAGGAACTACACCGCCATTCGAGTCTGATATTTCTCAGATGTTATGGCCAGACATCTTTAACATATCCTCAAAAATATTTCTACTATGTTTTTTCAAAGATTTTCAGCATATTTTGATTGAAATGTTCTGCCAATATGTTGAGCAACATTGTCCGAAGCTTAAATATATATGCAGCGGCACCTGCCTGAGGCTCTGATCCACAAGCATATTGAATTAACCGTCTGGGCCTTTCATACGTGGGCACTAGACCAATTATAACCCTGCCAACGCAAGTGGTACACAGGTTGCTCGCCGGACCTCAGGCTCATCCGAATTCTGTTGGGTCTGGCATCAGTGCTTGCCTCCAGATGGAAGTAGCCTGCATAACAACAAGACTAACAGCAAGGAGGATGAGGATGACATCCTATATATTGACGGTCCTGTAACCATGTCAGAAATTATTGGAAAGGTCCGTGCACGAAATTTTCAAACTCCGCCGATCAGACCAAATAACTGTCAATGTTCGGACGACAAACCTTTCTCTCTTTCTTTCACCGTCCACCCCTCTCCCTCCTTCTCACTGCCTTCAAGTACGGTCAATCAAGCAACACTCCAGGTCCACAGAGCACAGCCACATCCTTTGACGCCTGATTCGACGTGATCTGCTCTCGCAATGCAAGTGGCGACAGTGCGGGGTTCGGAGGTTGTTCGCCTCGGAAGACAATCGGAAGAGGAGCAACAACTTTCATACGGGGACGTTGGGAGTTAATGGTTGAGTCTTCCCCCAAGATTTTATTTCGTACCCATTCTGCCGAAGAAGCTTCGCGTCGGCTGTGCACAATCCTCTTTCATCTTCAATCAAGAAAACCTTCAAAATGCGCATTCAAGTTCAAAGTTCCTCGAGTTCCAGTCACCGTCATTTAATGTGCAACGGTTTCAAGCCCCAACCACGCAACTCGCAAGACATGTATTGATCTCCAAGAATCCCTCACATGCGGAGTCACCATTTGTACAACTTGTTTCTGTCGCTCGCTGCCCGGCACTGTCCTCAAATGTTGCCCATCTGTTCGCAACCCGCTCCTGACCGCCCTCAAGCGCTCCTGTGCCACAATACGGTTCTCAAGTCGTTCGGACTTTTCGTGGTCTCCTTTAATTTCATCGGCCCTGATGCACTGCAAGAACTCGTGATCACCCTGCCCTGTCCCCACAACATTCCAGATAATAAAACCAACTTCAAATCTTGCAACACGGCACTTCAATCAGATGCATCGCATTGTCGAGGCT